ACCACATTATGGTGACTGTTCCCTAGGGGAACTTTTACGCTGAGACTATTTAGTAAACGAACTTCATTAAAAATTACCAGATCCAAAATAGCCTCATCCCTGGTTGATTCCACAATGTCTTTTTCTAAGAAACTACCCTGAATACATTCTATCAATTCTTTCTCATGGCTACTTTAGCCAATTTGATTTTCCCAATCTACATGGAGATGAAAGTGATCCATAATTAATGCACTGCTTTTTATACATGCCTTCATTTTTTTGGTTATTTTCTATGCTACAGAACAGCTATTGTTAGGCAGCCTATAGACTACTCGCACAAATGTCTTCTTCCCCTTGTTATTTCTTCCCTCAACCATTTAGATTCTATCTAATTCGATCCAAGATCATTTTTTGCTACCATACACATTCCATCTTGTATTAACAAAGCTACCCCACCACCCTTTCACTTCTGCATGTCCCTCTAAAAAGTCATGCACCTGTGAATATTTAGCTCCCAGATTTGATCTCCCTGTAACCATGTCTCCATAATGGCTGTAAGATCAGGCCCATCAATTTCTATTTGTGTCTGTAGTTTATTTATTTTGTTCCAAATATCAGCTCATTTAAGTAAAGAGCCATTAATTTAGCCTTTTTACTATTTTTTTCACTCTTTCACCCTACATGGTGCTGTTTTTATACACTTATATACACTGTCCCTTCCTATGGGCATCATTTTCTAAATAGCTGCCCTGCTGCCATATCCTTTTGTTTTCTAAGACTATATTTCCCCTCTCCTGAACTTCTGAACCTTCCTCCTGCCACTTAATTTAAATCTTTTCTACAGCCCGAATAGATCCCATATCTATCAGATGATTGTTATCAATGTGCCTAGGTCCAAATTACAGTGAATCTCCCAGGGCTTATTTGTATCACCAGTGAAGAATTAAGAGCATCCATTCTCAGCAGAAACTCTGTTTAATTACATTTCAGTACGTTCTCAATTAATCCACTTTTTGTAAGATGAACATTACAGATCCCAAAGGTGAACTTCACAGCTTCCCTCTAATTTTTTGCAGCTCAGGCAATTACTTACAATAGTGCATTTCAAGGCAAATTTTTATAGCCTTCCCTCCTCAACTGCTGAGTTCACCATTTCCAGTTTGTCTCAAAAGGGATTCCAGTGTTGGCAATCATAACAACTTCTTTCTCCAAAGTATTAAATTTGTTTCCAAAAATTATAGCACCTGTTGATTGTCTTGTGGGTCATTTGTGGCTGAATGGAAAGTGCCTGATTGGCAAAATAGCTACTTTCAGCATTGAGCTGCATTGATCTAACATATCCTTAAGAAAACATAGTCTCAGTACTAAACACTTAAGGCTGTCATTTTACTGTCCTCTACAAAATTAGCTGAACTTTTAACAATTATAATGCAGAAACTAAAATCACAAATTCTCCATTCGCATATAAGGATTAAAAAGTTATTTTAGAGATAACACAGTGTGGAGCTGGAGGAACACAGCAGGCCAGGCAGCATCAGAGGAGCAGGAAAGTCCATAAATCCAATAGAACATTTGATTATATGCAACCAGAAACAGAAGTTGCTGGAGAAACTCAGCAGTTTTGGTAGCATCTGTGGAAAGGGTGAGCAGAGTAATGCTTTTTGAGTGCAGTACCCCCTGAACTCGAAATGTTAACTCTACTTTCTCTCCACAAATGCTACCAGACCTGCTGAGTTTCTCCAGCAATTTCCATTAGATGAAAATATAGGAAATAGAAGAAAAGCAAACAATTTAACTTAGAAAAAATTACCCCCACATTTATAACTTATGGCCCATCGGTTGACAGGATTTAAGCACAAGCTAACAAAACAAATGTCTAGATTTTATAGTAGCAATGATGGCAGAAATGTCAATTTTTACCATTATTATTTTGAATCTGACAATATACAGAATCTACATACGCAAAATTAAATGCTATCAGAGGCTCTACACTTCTCGATAAGGGACATAATGGTGACTAATAGAATACAATGAAGCCCTGACAAAAACAAAAATCAATAGATAGCGGTGGGACGGCCATGATGGTCTCCTGCTTGGATACGGCAAACTCAATGCAAAGTGTGTAGAAACCTTGGAAAACCTACCCATTCCACCCTCACCCACATCCTCACATACACGCACCACCCTCTGCGTGACAAAGTTGCCCATTAGGTCCCTATTAAATCTTTCCCCTCTCACCTTAAACCTATGCCCTCTGGTTTTGGACTCCCCTACCCTGGGCAAAAGACCTTGACTACTTACCCTATCCATGCCCCTCATAATTTTATAAACTTCCATAAGGTCACCCACAGCTTCCAAAGCTCCAGGGAAAACAGCCCCAACCTATTCAGCCTCTCCCTATTGCTCAACCACTCCAAACTTGGCAACATTCTTGTAAATCTTTTCTGAACCGTTCCAAGTTTCAAGTTTCACAACATCCTTCCTACAGCTGGGAGACCAGAATTGAATGCAATATTCCAAAAGTGGCCTAACCAATGTTCCGTACAGTTGCAACATGACCTCCCGATTCCTACAGTCATTGCACTGAACAATAAAGGCAAGCATTCCAAATGCCTTCTTCATTATCCTATCTACCTGCGACTCCCCTTTCAAGGAGCAATGAACTTGCATTCCAAGGTCTCTTTGTTCAGCAACACAACCCAGCACCTTACCATTAAGCAACTAAATCATTATTGACCTTCTGGCTAATTCCTTGCTAATTTCCTATCCCAATACCATTTTCATGCATTATACTTGATGTCTATAATACTTAGAAATCTATCAATCCGTACGTTGAAAGTATTCCATGGTTTAGCCTCTACAGCGTATTGTGGTGCAGAATTCCAAAGATTCATCGCCCTTTAAATGAAGAAATTTCTCCTCATTTCAGTCCTAAATAGTCTATTTCTTATCCTTGGATTGTGTTCCCTTGTTCTACTTCCCTCGCCGAGGAAAACATCATTCCTACATCTACGCTGGGGAGCTATCTGAGAATTTAAAATGTTTCAATGAAATCATCTCTCATTGCTCTGCAATCTAGAGATACAGGCCCAGTCCGATCAATCTCTCTTCATGGGACACTCTCTCCATCCTCGGAATCTGTCTGGTTAACCTTTGTTGCACTCCCTCAATGGCAGATAAGGAGATAAAAACTGTACACAGTCCTCAAGGTGCAATCTCACCAAGGCTGTATACAATTACAGCAAGGCAATTTTACACTTGTATTCAATCTTGCAGTAATAAAGGCCAGCATGCAAATTTCCTGCCTAATTGTTTGGTGCACCAACATGCTTGCTTTCAGTGACTCATGACATTGTCAGCCAGGTCCTTTTAGATGTCACCAATTCTTTGAAAAACTCCCAAAGTGTTAGAAATAGTTATTACTGGTGTGGCCCAATGCAATGGATATTTGCACCTGAATCATTGGCATGCTTTTAAAATATCAACACTTTTCTTGCTATACATAAATGATTTGGATCTTGAAATGCAAATAAAATTGCAAAATTAGCAGATGGACATAGTGCCAAACAAGGTGATACCAAACAATTGCATGAGAACCTGAATAGGCTAGCAGCATTGGCAGAAAAGTGTCAGATAGAATTTAGCATAAAGGTTGGGGGGGGGGGGATGGGTGGGGGTAGTAATGATAGAAAGAGAGAGAGAAATTTTGGAGATTAAGGGGAAATTTGATAGAGATATACAAGCTTATGCAACTAATGTCACAAGGGCTAGAAAACACAATTTTTTGGGCAAGAGATACAGAGGGATAAAAGGAAGAGCTTTGACCTGGAATTTGTTACCTACTAGGTTGATGGAGGCAAAAACCATCAATGATTTCAAAAGAAAATTCAAAAGAAATATAGACACTTGAAGGAAACAAATTTGCAGATCCGCCAGGCTTGAATGTGGAAGTGGGACCGTTTGCAATGGTTCACCATGAATTGGATAAATTGGACAGACTTAATGGTTATCTCCTGAGCCTGTGATTATGACTATTTCATGGTTGTGGCAAGGAGTCACGTAATAGTTGGTAGGCTTTGTTATTGGATAACTTATCATTTGAAAAGAAGGTAAAGGGATGTTACTATAGAACATAGAACAGTACAGCACAGGAACAGAATCTTTAGCCCACCTTGTCTGTGCCGACAATGATGCCATTCTAAACTAATGCCACCTGCCTGTGCATAGTCTGTATCCCTCTACTCCCTGTCTGTTCATGTGTCTGTCCAAATGTTTCCTAAATGTTGCTATCATATATGCTTCTACCACCTCTCTGGCAGTATTCTCCAGGCACCTATCACCCTCTGCATAAAAAAATCTTTCCTCGTATATCTCCTTTAAACTTTTTCCCTCTTGCCTTAAACTAATGCATGAGAATCTTCCAGTCTAGCAGTGACTAGGGCACAGTAGTAGTTGGTCTTATATATACAATCATTAAAGCACAGAATGTGTCTTTGCCAGCTCTCTCCAAAACCAACTCTCTCCATTCTCACACCTTTTCACATAGCTTTGTAAATTTGTTCTCTCCAGATAATCATTCAAATCTCTTCTGATGGTCTTACTTGAACATGACTTTACCACATCCTTGGGCAGTGAATCCCAGATCCTAACTACTTTTCAGGTTTTCCTCATTGTTTCTTTATCAATCACATTAAATTGATCTTTTCTAGTCTTCCTACCAATGGGTATGGTTTCTCCTTCTCTACTATGTCCAGAGACCTTATACTATTTTTTAATGAAGAAGCACTTTAGTTGCCTACAGACACTTGGAGAAGATGCTTCTAAAAGCGCTACACCACATGATACACAACACATTATCAGGGCCATTGATGTTAAATATAATATTCTCTATTTATAGCAAAGAATTTGTTAAATTTCACTATTTCTTTGAGGATTGAATTTAACGATTCTGAAGAAAATAAATAATGTCGCCTTTTTGCATGTCTTGTCATTTGCTAAGTTTTTTTTTTATTCATTCACAGGATGTTGACATTGCTGACTTGGCCAACATGTATTGCACAACTATAATTGCCCAGAGGGCAGTTAAGACTCAACCACATTGCTGTGGGTCTGAAACCATATGTAGGCCACACCAGGTAAGGATGGCAGTTTTCCTTTCCTGAAGAAAATTAGTTAACTGAATGAGCTTTAATGACAATTTGCAGTGGTTGCCATCAGATTAGCTGTTTTTATTCCAGATTTTTATTGAATTCAAATTTCATTATTTGTCACAGTGAGATTTGAAATTATTGCCCATGTCTCAGAACATTAACCTGGAGTTCTGGATTACAAGTCCAGTGACATTACCACTAGACCACCACCTACCTTCTTTTTGTAAATTTCTTTCTATTGCTAAAGCAGATATACAACAAAATGGGCTTTTCAATGTAGCAACTGGAGGTAAGCATTTGAGTAGCTTCCTCTTTTTCCCTCATTAACTGCCAGACCTTTGGCAAAAACTGTGGATATAAATGAAAATGGTGTTTCCACTTAATGCACTAAATGAAACAATGATGAAATTATTGCCAATAATATTTAACAATGCTGGGAAAGGTGTGGAGTTTAGCAATAGTTCATTGTAATCATGGATTTTGGTGGCAAGGCAAAGATTAACCCGGGGGGGGTGACATAACTGGATTAGAGACCCTATTTGAAGAGGAATCCTGTGATCTGTCAGAAATGTAAATAAGAAACCTTTGATTTGGCAGAAATCCTGGTTGCTGAGGATAGTTGGCAGTGAATTGGAAAGCATGTGACATTATGTTGCAGTTGTACCAGATACTGGTCAGGGTTCTTCTGGAGTGTTGTGTCCAGTCCTGGTCTCCTTGTTGTAGGGAGGATATTATTAAGCTGGAGACAATTCATTAGAGATTTACCAAGATGTTGCTGGGAATGGAGGGTTTGAGTAATAAGGAGAGGCTGGATAGGCTGGGACTTTTTTCACTGGACAATAGGAGGTTGAGACATGACCTTATACAGATTTATAAAATCACAAGGAGTATTAATGAGGTGAATGGCAGGTGTCTTTTCTCTAGGGTGGGGAATTTCAAAACTAGAGGGCATATTTTTAAGGTGAGAGGTGAAATATTTTGAAAAGACGAGAGGCAATTTTTTTACACAGAGAGTGGTTCATGTGTGGATGCGATGGATCTGGGTACAGTTACAATGTTTAAATGAGTACCATGAGTAGGAAACGTTTGGAGGGATATGGGCCAAGCACATCCAGGTGGGACTAGTTTAGTTCGGGATTATGTTCAGCGTGGACTGGTTGGACCGAAGGGTCTGTGTCCTTGCTGTATGACTCTGTGACTCTATTTAACAGAATTTTCACACCTGTCAGCACTGATTTCTAACTTTCTAAGGGATACCTGCAAATATTGTTCATCAGATTTTCTTCTTAAATGGGAGAATTGAAAGGAGATCTTCCTAGGTCACGATGCCACCTACTGACAGGTGTCCGTCCATGCTATTTTTATGGTTGCATGGCAGAAATGGGCTGGAATCAGTGCCACCACCTTGAAACCAATCCAAGATGGGCAGAGATTGAAACAGGTATATTAAAAGCTCATGTCTCTGCTTTTTGAGAAATCAGTCAAGCTTTAGTACTTGAGTGTTAGCTACTCTAGCCCTAAACCCACTCACCAACCCTACCCTACTCAACATCTCGCATACTTCCTTCTCCCTCCCAACATATGCCCAACATATTCCCATGCTTACTCACCAGTACCCACCATGAACAGAACACAGGGGATCTATGAGAACATTGGGAAGTCTTTGAAATGCTTGTGAAACTGTCAAAAGAAAACCAAATAGCCATAAAATAATTCACTTGAAAAAACTTTAATCCTTTTAGGGGTTCATGAAACTGACAAATGTACAACCATCCAAACACAACTTTAAAATTTCTTAAAAATAATAATTTGTGTATAATAGTCAACATAAAGATCATAGTCCCTTTGACAGCTATACCACTCACTCCAGCAGAGATGAATCCATTTGTTGGAATTGAAGTTCAGCTACACATTAATATGAATCCAGTACCCAACTGAGTCATCAAAACCTCCACATTAAATACATTACAGCCTTTGAAGGAGTGGAACAGATGGCCATCTGTTTTATTGCTCCAAAAGTTGAACAGATGGCTGAGCTGCCAGTAAAAAGATTGCAAATCTCAGGCTGCAATTAACAGTAAAATCTGAACGTTAATGCTGTTTAATGCAAAAGAGGACTTTATCCATTGGATAATTTCACGTAATGCTTCTGAAATTGTTCACTTTCACAATGCTGTTCAATTTTATGTTCAGTTAAATTTTTTTAAAGAACAAAGGAAGCCATATCATCAATCATTGCATTAAATACTTACCATACATCATTACGCAATGATGTGTAAAGTTAGCAACATCTTTAAACATGTTTGTCCAATGGTTCCCATGAGAGATAGGATTTAGTGAATGTGTAGATAAGCCTCTGAGGAATGCTGTGATATGTATACGACTCAAATAGTCATGTGAGAAACACTCAGCCAGTAGAATGGAACTGGAGCAGTTTAGGGTGAAAATGTATACTGTAAAATTGTCATGTAGATAATATTAGTAAGTACTGCTTAAAGAAATAACTTGAGATGCTGGCCAGAACTTAGAAGAACCTATATTGTAATACCTAGCTCAAGAACAGATTTCCCTCATAATTTACGACATCTCGGAGCTGACATAAACCACACTTCCTTCAGAAATAGATTGTACTCCAGGAGGGGAACTGATGGCATTGGGACTTTTATGTTTAGTGTTTACAACAAGCACCTTTATCCCACATCCTTAAAATTTCTGCATGATGGGAATGGGAGTAGAAGTCCTGGAACTGTTTGCTTGCAGCCTTTTTCTCCCTCTGCAACCTACCATCTCCCAATTCAGGTATGCCCTGTGTCAGAATGGCAAAGTCCAACTCATTGAATATAATGTTTAGTGATTATTTTCCTGATTATAACTAAACAACACCTGTGAATAGCCAATTTTATTATGAATGCTTACAGCATCAAAATATTAGCTGAAACAAGTGTCCAAAGGGACAATATTAATCCTTTCCACTTCAAATCTGGTAGATGTTAAGCAGTTAGTCCAGGTCACATACCTGCCCTATTGTTGCGGAGAGCTGACCTTCTCTGATATTAACTTGCACTGTTGGGTGAGGGTTGCCACATGATCAAAGACAGCGAGGTCCTTTTTAAGATAAACACATTGCATCTCCATGACATCATTGGGACCTAACAGCAATATTTACGGGAAGGCTTCAGTTTCCTGTCAGGTCAACCCAGTACAGGGTGACTAACTGTTACATTTGTTAGCACATTGTCCCGCAATTTTACTGATTGTTACACTGTATTTTTTTCTTCCCGAGGTAGCATTTTTCCGTATTTCTTTGATTTGCCCCTTTTAACTATTGTTTTTTTAGAGCAGGTAAATTAGTCTACAGTGGGTTAAAATATTAAAATAGGGTTATGCAATTCCCAACTGACCTGACTCCCAAGGGCGGGTTGGTCACCTGTTTCTTAAGCTGCCCCAGTTAAAAGCAGACGCCAGTGTTTGGAATCATGTTTTAAATTTTTAACCTTTTTAACTTTGCTGTCACTACAAACCCATTTGCATCTGCATGTCACCTTACCCTCCAAAATGGTCAACTGTTAAACATGACATTATTATTTCCAATTTTTAAAAAAACTAACAGAACTACTATCATTGTTATTAGATTAACACACACTAAAAATCTCTTGAATGGCTCTGGAACTTTTCACACAACTGCAAGTTATTTGTGGTTGTCTTCCAGCACCCTTGCAGCTGTAGAAACAAATCAAATGTAAACAGGCATTTGCTTTATAGGACTACAATTGTCTCTCTATCTCTCTTGCACATATTATTTCGCTTAACAAAAAAAACTTGTTAATTGTAAGTTCACTTGACAATCTACTCCATTATCCAGTTTCTATAATACAAAGCATTTTCAAAAACACACAAACTGAAGTATTGTTCTTTACAGACAAGGAGTAATTTTAATCTAATCCCCTCAATGTGGAATTGGTGGGATCAGTTCGAATATCTGTTTTACAATGAAAGCTAGCCATTTGTGCCAGCTTTCTAGTGGGTAGATTGTTAAATTAACCCACATAATTTAGATTTTTTGCAAAGAATAATGGATTGAGTGTTTAGAATTCAGACATTAAAAGAGATGTGCAGATTGTCATGCTTAACATCTCTGCCTGTTTGTTTATCTTCCTGTCTCACATAGTCAACCTCTCTTTCATTAATGGAGAACTCCAAATAAACTTGATCTGAAGAAATCTTTTGAAACCTATCAAAGTTTATGCAATCTGTCCCCAATTTAACACATTAGGCCTGGTATCATTCCACTGAATCTACACTGTATATCTACCAAGGCTAATGTGTCTTTTCTGAGGTGTGCTACTTTAAACTGAACATGTGCGGTACTCCACATGGAGACTAATCACGGCCCTGCACACTACTGAAGTACGAATCACAGAAGGAGGCCATTCAGCCTATCATGCCTGCTCCGGCTCACTGAATGAACATCATTACATCGTGTCAACCTCCTGCTCTTTCACATACCCTTCCACAATACTTTTATCCAAATAATCATTTGATGCCCTCTTGAATACCTCAATTGTATCTGCCTCTGCCATACATTCAAGCAAACAAATACCCTCACTTTTTGATTCCAATCTCTTAGTTAAAGATTCCAACAGTCTTTTGTAAAATTTCTTTTTATTCTGATGCACTGGCTTTTAGTGATTTGTGTAAAAGAAAACTTAATCACTTTGTCCCACCATAATGCCATCTCCACAAATTAAAAGGGTTGGATTTTGCAATCAAGGCGGCTAGCTCATGAAATTTCTCGACTCGGCGGACATAGCTCATTTGAAAGGACCCTATTAGACACAATTTTCACTGTGGGGAGGCAGGGCCAGAATAGATACAGGCATGCCAACCCAGAAGCACAGGTGATCATGAGATCAGGTGCGTTCTAAGATGGGCTGGGTTGAGGCCCACTTTGGTAATTTCGGACTCTATCCCTGCTGTATTAGAAGCTATTAACATATCTAGGACAAACCCTCCAAATTCTGACTACTTCCCTTATTCCCCCATGCCAACTTGTACTTCACACCTATACACATGCCCCCTTAGATCCCCATACCCTCTCCATAGCCACTTACCTAATTTCCACCATGCGTAGACCTCAGGAACCATGAAGAGATGAAAGAAAGTGAACGTCTAGCAATCCATCTAGCTCTAATTCATTGACAGTTGATAGAGAAAACCTTCCATTTAAGAAATTCATTCGAACCTTTTAAATCTTAAATGGTTACTCAGTTATTGAAAACAGACATGTTGTGACCATACAGACTGTTCACTAATCCTACAGTAACCTTTTTAAACTTTCTGACAAGATGTGACTTGAAAACCTCTGCTGAGATAAGTAACTTGTAACTTTTGAAACTCAGCATTGCTTTCAGTCTGGTATAATACCAGCCATTGCGAAAAATCAACAAAGACTCTATTGAAACTGAGAACACCTGTCAGGGAATGGTGTTTATCAAGTTTAAAGAGCAGGGGATTTGAAAAACTTCAGATTTGACACTTAAGCAGATTTTACCTACATTTCAAGAGTGCTTGTGTCTATTAATTCATGACTACATACCTAGAAGGATGGTGGGTCAGCGGTTAACACTGCTGCCTTACAGTGTTAGTGACCCAGGTTCAATTCCACCCTTGGTGCAACTGTCTGTGTGGAGTTTGCACATTCACCCTGTAGCTGTGTGGGTTTCCTCCCACAGTCCAAACATATGCAGGTCAGGTGGATTGGCCATGGGAATTACAGGGATAGAGTGGCAGGATGAGAATGTGAATCCTGAGCAGTTACACCATACACTTGTGTTAAATTCTTGAGATTATCTTGAAGTGAGTATTGAGTATACCACTGACTCAAGTCTTTTAGATGGCAGAAAGGCTTTCAGTGATCAGCAGAGAAGGCATTAATTGAAAATTAGCCATACTTTTCCTGGTTTCTGTAGTTAGCATTTGACATAACTGATACAAATCAGTTTCTGGTCAATGTCAACTCCCAGGATGATGGGAAGTTACTGCTGGCAGAAAACATATTGAAAGGGACAAGGCATTGCATTTTTTTTTTCTTTTGTTCAATACTATGATAACCTGACACATACAAATCATAAACTGTACTTGCCACTTGTCAATTTGAGTCATGCTATAGGCTAGCATGGGTTGCTTTGTTAAGACAATTTGCAAATACATGGAACACTGTGTAAATATCAATGATACTCCAGCTCTAATCTCATGATGATGGGTCGGGCAATGATGAATTCTTACAGGTGCCATCTGTTCGATAAGTTGTCAAACCAAGGATCTGTCTGCTCTTGCAGGTGGACAAAACATGGCACTATTTCAAAGTAGAGAAGAGAAGTAAGGGAGCTTTTCCGATCAAAATAAGTCCATCAATTAATATCACTTAAACAGATTATCTGGTTGTTATTGCATTGTTGTTCATGGGACTATATCTGTAAATTGATTTGATTTGATTTGATTTATTGTTCTCACTTGGGGAGGCTATGGCCTAGTGATATTATTGATGGACTGTTAATCCAGAGACCCAGATAATGTTTTGAGGACCTAGGTTCGAATCCCTCAACAGCAGATGGTGGAATTTGAATTCAATAAAAAATATCTAAAATTAAGAATCTAATTGTGACCATGGATACATTATCATTTGTTGGAGAAACCCATCTGGTTCACTAATGTCCTTTAGGAAAGGAAACTGCCATTCTTACCTGGTCTGGCCTACATGAGACTCCAGACCCACAGCAATGTGTTTGACTTTGAACTGTCCTGTGGGCAATTAGGGATGGGCAAAAAATGCTGCCTGGTTAATGATGCCCACATCCCATGAATGAATAAAGAAAAAAAATGCATCTAAATACACTGAAAAACTTAGTTTTGCAAGCAGTAGAGACTGATCATTGCAAACAAAGAAATGCAGATCATAGGGTGCTGAAACATAGTGAGGCATACAAGGTTACAACTACACAGGAGGTGCGCAAAGCAAGGTCAACATTACTTGAAGTTAGCAAGGTCCATTCAGCAGTCTAATAACAGCCAGGAAGAAGCTGTTCTTGAATCTGCTGGTGCATGTGTTCAAGCTTTTGCATGTTCTGCCTGACAGAAGAGATTGGAAGAGAGCATTACTAGGGTGGGAGGGGTCTTTGATAATATTGGCAGCCTTTTTGCAGCAATGAGAAATGTAAATGAAGCCCATGGATGGAAGGTTGGCTCCTGTGATGGTGTGGGCTGTGCATACAACTTGCTGTAGTTTCTTCCAGTTTTGGGCAGAACAGTTGCCATACCAGGCAGATATGCACCCAGATTGAATGTTTTCTATGGTGCATCTGTAGAAGTTGGTAAGGGTCCTTATGGACATGCCGAATTTCCCAAGCAGTCTGAAGAAGAAGGTGTTGTTGTGCCTTTTTGACCATCACATCTATGTAGGAGGTCCAGGTCAGATTGTTGGTTATCGTCACTCCTAAGAACTTGACGCTCTTGACCCTTTCCACCCCAGCTCCATTGATGTAGATTGGGGTGGAGAGGGGGCGGTGTCCTCCTCCTTTTATTATCTGCTTCATTTCCTACATTGCATTTGACTCCATTTCTAAAGTATATAATTGGGTGTAAAGAATCTTGGGTCATTCAGAGATTATAAAAGTCACTAATAATATTTTTTACATTTTTTTTCACAGATTGTGGTCACCGCTGGCTTATCTAGTGTTGGGTCCCCATTTCTCATTGCCTTTGAGATGAAGTGGCAGGCTGCCTTGTTGAACCACTGTAGTCTATGGAAGACAACAAGGTGCAGGGCTGGATGAACACAGCAGGCCAAGCAGCATCATAGGAGCAGAAAGGCTGACGTTTCGGGCCTAGACCATGGAAGATGGGCACATGCCACATGTAGGAACACGGATATAGTTCCAAATCGGGATGCTTTGTTGCTTGGAGAGATACTTCTGGTAATGGTGTTCCCTAGCATCGGCTGCCCTTGAAGTTCTAGTTGGTACATGTAACGATGTGGAGGATACTGTTTAATGAGCGTTGGCAAGTTGTTAAAGTACATTCTGTAAAAGGTACATCCTGCTGCTGCCGTGCATTGATAGTGAAGAGACTGAATGTGGAAGGTGGTTAATAGGGTATTAATCAAGTGAGCTGCTTTTTCTCCTGGATGGTGTTCAGCTTCTTAAGTGTTGTTGGAGCTGCACTCATCCAGGCAACTGGAGAATTTTCCACCACACTCTCAACTTGTACCTTGTAGACAGTGGACAGTCCCTGGGGAGACCAGAGGTAAGTTACTCATCTGCCACAGATCACATGATTTACAAGTTGGCCAAAGGTCTGGATACACCTAACAATTGATTGGAGAAAGATATAGAATTTTTTTTGTGTTGTTAAGTTGGTGGGCATGCTTCAAAACAAAGAGTTCAGACGTTCAATCTCTTAGCTTGGCCAGTAACAAAACAAACAGCTCAGAACTCATTGTGGCTGGAAGTGCTAAAAACAACTATCTACCTCTTAACCAAAAAGCAAAGAACTGTGAATGTCATAGATCTGAAACAAAAACAGAAATTGCTGGCAAAACTCAGCAGGTCTGGCAGCATCAGTGGAGAGAAAGCAAAATTAACATTTTGAGTCTGATGCTTCTTCGGAACTGTTCAAAATTTTCAGAACTGTTCAAAATTCAAAACAAAAATTTATTTCAACTCTGTTAACATTCTCCGAGAGGACAGGTGAAAATTATTCATGTAATACCTTCTTTGTTCATTCAATATTTCTTTCTTGATCATTAATCATATGGTCAAGTTACCATGGCCCCAAAATTGGACATTCTAAATTGACCCACAGCTGGAGAAATTAGGCCTGATAGAAAATTGGCCAAACTAAATTAAACAGCACCTTTCAGCTACAGAGAACAATGGAAGGTCAAAGTGGTTACAAAGGTTTAAGGAGAACCAATTGCAATGAGCCCAAGGGTTATGTATTAGAGAAGTATCAATCAGACGTTTTGGCATTTTGACTGTCTGAGAATGTACACTTTACAGCTCTCAGTGTGGCAACAGGGGAGAATGTTGGCAGGACCCATTTGATGATTTGCTCATGACACCATTGGCCAATAGCCATAGAACATTCTGGAGAGTCTGATGAGAAGGGGGTTAAGAACACACATACCTGGATTCCAGACCCTCAATGAAGACTCATCGAAGACTCACAAAGAAGATTTACAGCAAGACTTGTGGCAAAAGACCAAGCTGCAACCTAAGAAGACCTGGGAGAAGATCTGCCCTGACCTGCAAGGCCCACCTTTATGGAAGAGAGCTAGCCCTACATCGGAGAGGAAGGACATTCCAATGACCCAGCTCAAACATGTGGATCATTGTGAGTAATATCCTCTTTCAGATGGATAGAGCTAGATAGAGAGTAAGTATGTCGGAATTTGGGAAATGATTTATTTTGATTTTGATTTTATTGTCACATGTACCGAAATACAGTGAAAAGCTTTGTTTATGAGCAGTACAGGCAGATCACAGCAAGCAAAGGATATACAGATCAAAAAGACATACACGTTACATTGCAGGTTACATTATTTGAGGCTAGAGCCCATTCAACAGTCTGATAATGGCCGGAAAGAAGCTGTTCCTGAACTTGCTGGTGTATGTGTTCAGGCTTCTGTATCTTCTGCCTGATCGAATAAGTTGAAGGAAGTCACTACCAGGGTGTGGTGGGTCTTTGATGATGTTGGCCGCCTTTCCGTGGCATCGAGTCATATAAAGAGCATCCATGGAAGGAAGGTTGGCTTCTGTGATGGTTTGGGATGCGCACATAATCTGTAGTTTCTTACAATCCTGGGTGGAACAGTTACCATACCAGCCCGTTATGCACTCGGACAGTATGCTTTCAGTGGTGCATCTGTAGAAGTTGGTGAGGGACCTTATGGACATACCAAATTTCCTGAGCTTCCCGAGGAAGAAGAGGCATTGTTGTGCCTTCTTGACTGTCGCATTTATGTGGGAAGTCCAGGATATGTTGCTGGTTATTGTCACTCCTAGGAACTTGATGCTCTTCACTCTCTCAACCTCAGTTCTGTTGACGTAGATGGGGGCATGTTCTCCTCCTTTCTTTCTGAAGTCGATGATCAATTCTTTAGTTCTGCTGATGTTGAGAGACAGATTGTTTTAATTGCACCATGTCACCAAGCCATCTATCTTCCTTCTGTATTTTGACTTGTCCTTGTTAGATATCAGTCCCACTACGGTGGTGTCATCAGCGAACTTGTAGGTGGCATTTGTTCGCAATGTGGCACCACAATCGTAGGTGTGCAGGGAGTACAGTAGGGGGACTGAGGATGCATTCTTGGGGGGCTCTAGTGTTGAATTTTATTGTGGAGGAGGTGTTCACATAATGTTTTAAGAAGGAGTATTTTATTAATAAAATCAATTATGACCGCAAACGAAAAGTTGTGTTCTTTGTCCGTGTCACCAATAAGAGTGTTTGGGTAAAGTGGTTTTAAAACATAAACTGGTTGAAGTATCCAAAGCACGGTTAACAATCATTTTTTGACTGTCCTTCTGTTTATCAGTTTCTAAAACCTTTAATATTTCTTTTTATTACATCTAGTTTCATACATTTTCTTAACCATTCTTATGTCTATTCTCACTTTTCTGCATTCAGCTTGATTCCTTATTACATTACGAACTTGGCAATTGCCAAAAAACTTTCTTGTATCATTTTAATCAAAATTAGGAGTGGACATCAGAGCTCATCATATGTCACTATAGCCAGTTCTGGACATAAATATTGGAGCACAATTATTCGAATGCCAGAGGAAATCGTACATAGTGACTGATCAGGAGCAGTTTTACGGTACTGTACCATCAAGTTATCTCAGATTACAATGAAGCGCTGTATCACAATCAGCTGTGACCTTCATACGATAGAGGGAAAAACAGAGCTCAGGCAAAACAATTGAAGAACTTTCAGGAAAGGGAGAGGCTTGTGGGGAAGGTGATAATGTTTCTAATGCATTACATCCTGGTCTCCTCCTGATGTTTTGAACCTCTGTAGACACAATCACCCAAATATTGAAACATCACACAAATGAACTGGAAAAAAAGTAACTGAATTGTGCCATCACAGAGAGATTGAGCCTGAGGTGAAACAGGGAGAAAGGTCAACAGGTAAAAGCAGCAGAGAGAGCCTAAGGGGAAACATTGCAAGAGACCAACAGTATCTTAGATTTTCAGAGGTCAGTTTCTAAGAAAGATTTTCAGAGCCAGAGATAAAGATGTGTGAAACTGAAAGAGTTCAGGTATGGAACAGCAGAGAGGTGGGAGAGACACAAGACTCAAATAGAGGACAGGAACCACAAGTGTCAAGGTAAGAGGTCTGAAACAAAATCAAAAGTATACCAAATCAGGGATATGTCTTAAGCTTATTTCTGGTAAGTTTAGATAGAGGTCAAATAAAGAAAGGCTTGGAAGACACCTCAGTTCCACCCAGAAGGAAGAAACAATGACATAAACAAATGTGACTCATCCTGCAAACTTCAAAATGGAGCTCCAGTACACCCGGTCTGTTCATCTCCAAGTACTACTGACACAAACAAAAACAGAAATTGTTGGAGAAACTCACCAGATCTGGCAGCATCTGTGGAGCAAGGACAGAGATAACATTTTGTGTCCTGTGACTCTTCTTTAGAAAACTTCAGAACCATTCTCTCTCCACAGATGCTGCCAGACCTGCTGAGTTTTTGCAGAAATCTCTGTGTTTGTTGGTTTGAGATCTTCAGCATGCACAATTCTTTGTTTTATTATATTATTATCCAAGTATTAATGTTACTTTCTTTAAACTGTTTTCCCTCTGAGAACTGACTGCATATGCTATAGCACGTGGGAAACTGAACAAGTGCATGCGCTTGTGTGTGTGTGTGTGTGTGTGCGCGCGCCCAATTGTGTATGTGTTTGCATGTGTGTGCATGTACGTGTGTCCAGTATCATTGGCTGCACCACCAAGTGTATATAATCTTTCTAACATCTCCTACTTTTGAACCCTTCTTGTGTCTGAACTTGTTCTTCTTTCAACATGACCTAGGTATAATCATCTTGCTTGTTGAAGGCAGGTATAAACTATTAACTTAATACTTCAGCTCTGACCTCTGCATCCAGTCATGTCTTCCATTTTTTGTCCCAAGTTGACTCTAGTTCCTTTACCACCATTTTACTATTTACATGCCAATAGAAGATTTTGGGATTCTCTTTTATGTTAGCTTCCAGTTTTTTTGCATACTCCTTTCTATTTCTTATTTGATTTTTTACCTCCACTTAATATGTAGCCTGATTCTCAATTATATCTTCTATCCATCATCTGTCAAAAGTACACTTTTTCTTATCTAAGTTTCTATCTTGTTTGCCATCCAAGAAGCTCTGGATTTGTTGGCCTTACCTTTCCTCATTGAGGGAGTTTATCTTGACTATGCCCCAACTATCTCTTCTTTGAAGTTAGCCACTTCCAGTTATTGTTTTGTTTTTCAACTTTTAACACCAATTAATTTGGTCATATTTTTATCCCTTAGAAGTTGTTTTTCCCCAATTATTTAGTTTACTATCTCTTTGTCCTTTTCCATAGCCAGCCTGAACATTATGATACAATTATCTCTGTCAACAAAATGTTCTGTTATTAACAAGATCTACTTGGCCCACCTCTTTCCCAAGAGCTACTAAACATTCTTCTTTCTCAATGGATTGGAAACATACTGCTGTAGAAAATAAATTCCTGAACACATTCCAGAACTCTAGCCTTTCTCTGCCATTTATAACGCTATTATTCCCATCTGTATTTGTATGACTAAAGTCCTGTTATAACAACTCAATAACTTTTGCCAAAATAACTGTAGATACTGGAAATCAACAAGAACAGAAATTGCTGGAAAAGCTCAGCAGGTCTGGCTGCATCTGTGGAGAGAAATCAAAGTTAATGTTTCTTCCTAATTTCCCACTTCCATCAGTTCTGAAGGAGAGTCACTGGACCTGAAATGTTAACTCTGATATCTCTCTGCAAATACTGCCAGACTTGCTGAGCTTTTCCAGCAATTTATGTTCTGGTTCAATAATTTTTGCACCTACCTGTAACTTTTTTGCATATGTTTCTCCTCAACATCCTTCCAAGTAGTTGCTAACTTGTGTACTCAATCAAGAAGTGCAATGCTTGTAGTAAAGCATTAAAATCTTTGTGCACATTATCATTTTACATCATTCTGTGCTTCAACAGTTGTTTCTGACTTTTGTACATTCTCTGGCAATGTCCCATTTTCTTACAAAAAATGTATTGTCATGATAAAGCTGGCCATTGTTTCTGTTTATGACATTACTTCTGAAACAGTAACTTTTAGCATCAGATTTAAAGATATTTTGCATTGACCTGTGATATGATATTTTGGTGTTTTTGTCCTTATGAAGCTGACAAAATCAGATGAGTCTCTTCAGCTTGTTTTCCCATGATTCTCTGTTTTTGGATGGCAACTTCCACCACTATCTGGAAGTTCTTTCCAAAGTGTGATCCACATTTGATTATAACATATCTGAAACAAATGGACCATATATTCCAATGGCTATTCTCTCTTGAATTAATTCTGATTGTAAATCAACATAATCACACAATTTTGACAATGTGTAAAGTTCATTAATGTCAACAGGCTCTCCTAGAAGCAGTTTTCTTCTATTAAATCTTGCTTTCTACTTTATACAATTGGTGCTTCATGTTAAGTAACTGTTCAAACACTTCAATTTTAGTAAATGTTAAAACTTCTTTGAGTCATTCAGCATGGAAACAGACCCTTTGGTCTAATTAGTCCACGCTGACCATGTTCCCAAACTAAACTAGTCCCACTTGCCTGCGTTTGGGCTATATCTTTGCAAAACTTGGGAAAGGACCCTTGCTATTCACCTTATCTATGCCCCTCATCATTTTATAAATCTCTATAAGGTCACCCCTCAATCTCTTACGCTCAGGAAACAATCCAAGCTGATCCAGCTTATTTTTGTATCTTGAGCTCCCCATTCCCAGAAATATCCTGGTAAATCTTTTCTGAACCCTCAAGTTTTAGATGTTTTGTAATCAACCTGTTCACAGATGTTATTATATACCTCTGGAGGAGGTGGGGCTTGAACTAAGGTCTCCTAGTCTCATAGATAGGGAAACTACCACTGTGCACAACAGCCAATTCGGGAAATAACAATTGTAATTGTTTTCTCTAATTACTGGATAATGAAGACAATTTTTTCATAAAGCTTTGTCATTAAGAGTTTGTTGTTTCAATGAAAATTCTAGATGTTTCTGAATTATTCTCTTATTTTGTTACAAAAATTGTTTTAAAACTGATTACAAATCATTAAAATGCTTTAAAATAAAGAAATATCATATTTTATATTTTCTTTCAACATGGAGGAAAGTTTATTTTGGCAACATTTCCCCTTCTTCCTAAAGGTTTTCATGTCATTTTTAATACCATGGATGATTTGCTCACCTTTCTGCTTCTTCTCTGATCTTCTTGTGCCATTTTATATTGAAAATAATGTCTTGCTTATGATGTTTCTTAAAGGAATATGTTCATTTGAGCAATAAATATTTGTTTATCTCTTCAAAACACTTCTTAGTATACTCTCTTACCTTCCAATTTGCCATGTTTATTGGTCACTTTCCAGTAAGATCTAGGGCTTTAGGGTCTGGGACTCGTCTGCTCTGTTTACTTTTCTATTCGTTTCTTCTCTTTCTTCTTTCTCTTGGCTTTTTTTTCTCTTTATTTTACTTACCTCTTGTTGAAGAGCAGAGTCATGGAGACAGCATCAGCAGCGAGTGGTTTCCTGGTGGCTCCTGCATTGATGTGACACCAATGTGATGTCACCAATGTGATGCCACTGTTTAAAAAAGGAAGTAGACAAAAAGCAGGTAACTATAGACCAGAGAGGCTGACGTTTCGGGCCTAGACCCTTCATCAGAAAAGGGGG